TGTCAGTCAATGATACAAATGACTCATCTTGTTCTACCTAAGATGTTGGAAAAGTAAGTTTTAAGCGCTGTATATTCTGTAACTTCTTTCATTTGTAGGAAGAAAGGCATCATTGTCAACATAGCCTCTATTGCTAATACGCGTCCTTTACCACTAATGACCGTTTATTCATCTACTAAGGTTGGTCAATTGGATATGCATTATGCTTGAGTTGATTAATATTGCAAGGCTATTATACTAGACTAACTTTTGCTGCAAATTAATAATTCTCTCTCTCTCTCTCTCTCACTCACTCTCTGCTTTTGCAGCAATTTGTTCTCTATTTTTCAACTGCACTTCAAACAGAGTATAAAAGCAAAGGAATCATAGTTCAGGTAAGATGTAGTAAGAATTACACTGATAGAGCTGGTACTGGTCATATAGTGCAATTCTCCTGGAGTTGTAGCAACACCACTTACTGGAATCAGGAGGGTCAGATGGTGGGCAGTTGATCCTGTTGCCTATGGACGATCTTCTGTTGCAACCATAGGACTACAGCATCATACTAATGGCTGCCTTACTCATGTATTTCAAGTAAGAGGAAAGAAAGGGAATAGTGAAGGGAAGAAGAAGGAGAATGAATTATTTTTTGTTTTTGTTTTTTTTTTATGCAGAAGAAAATGGTTGAAATGCTTCTTGGCCAGAAGACAGCTATTCCTATGCTAAATATTAGGAGGAAATATTTCTTAAAGAGGCAGAGCGAGAAACAGAAGAAAGAACATTAATAGTATTTGTTTTGATTGAAATTTATGTTAGAACAACAAAACGATATTTAAAAAGATCTACATGTACGCACCCATATAGCACCTATCCATAGATATTGACCTATCCAAATTTAATTAGCCACACCTTCAAGTTAACGAAAATCAAATTCAAAGTGGGGCGATCAAAATGGAGTATTGGAATCAAGCAGTGGATGTCTTTATGTCTGATCGTTTCTGTCTCTACAGGAACATAGCAGCTGTCATTGGTACTGCTTATGTGCTTCGTTTCTTATTAAAGAAGTTGTGGGCACTGAGTGGTGGGTTTTGTGCTTATTTCTTAGCTCCTTGGGGCATATCAAGAATTAATATAAAGAAATATGGCTCCTGGGCAGGTGAGAAAAAGGGACATTTACTGATTATTATGTTATATGTAGTTGTTACTGGAGCATCTGAAGGAATTGGAAGAGGATATGCTCTTGAGGTGAGAGAAAAAAATAGAAAACTAATGAGGTCATCTTTTTACAGCTAGCAAGGCAAGGTCTGAATGTAGCCATAATGAGTCGCTCAAGAGAAAAACTAGAAAAAGTTGAGGAAGAAATCAGTAAGTGTACAGTCAAATCAATGATTCGAATCATCTCAATATCAAGGATCAAAGTATAATCGTGATGTTCGTGTGATACCAGTTGATTTCAGTGAAGGACAAAGTGTCTATGATGATATACAAGCAGAGATATCTGATCTGGATATTGCTATTTTAGGTAACTTACATCTTGTTCATATTATAGTTATTATTAATTTACTTTTTCTCTCGTTAGTAAACAACGTTGGCCTTAGTTTGAAACACCCAGAATTTTTTGCTGAAGTTGATGAAATGGTAGCATATAATATGATTCTTACAATTATCATAAATTTCTAATAGAGACACAGGCAAATTATTGAGCTCAACTGTCAGTCAATGATACAAATGACTCATCTTGTTCTGCCTAAGATGCTAGAACAGTAAGCCCATCTATACACATGCAGTATAGCCATTCCTTTGCAATAGGAAGAAAGGTATCATTGTTAACATCTCTTCATTGAGTGGTGCTGCCCCTAGCCCACTACTCACTGTCTATAGTGCTACAAAGGTTTGTAAATATTAGTATCTATATCTACATATATAGTTCATGTTAATTACTACATCTATGCATGTAGTAGTTGGCTGCTTTGCATATTCTTGTTAATAGTAAAGTATAAGTTAATGTATTTTTGTATACAGATAATATAGTTGAGGTTTTTGTACAATTATGTTCTCCTTTCTGAAGGTTTTTGTGAGATATTTCTCTGCTGCTCTTCAAACCGAGTACAGGAGGAAAGGCATCATTGTGCAGGTTGCTAAGATGTGCATATTCTATAGCATTAAAATATAATATTTAATTCCAGTGTGTCTCTCCTGGTTTTGTTGCTACTGCAATGTCTGGTATAAGGAGACCGTCTCTCATTGCTCCTGATCCAGTCACCTATGCAAAAAGAGCTGTTGCCACTATTGGGCTAAGGGATCACACCAACGCATACATACCCCACGTCCTCCAAGTAATATAACACGAGAAGCTACTTTGCTTTCCTAAGTGCATACATGTATCTGCATTGTGTGGATGGAGGGAGGGCTTAGTTGATTCTTTTTGTGTAGGAGTATTTGATTGGAGCATTGCCAGGATGGGTCATACAGAAAATGTTTTACGGTGCCATGACTCAGGTGAGGAGTACAGCAATAAAGAAGAAACAGAAAAGAAGCTAATCAACAATAAAGGGAGTCTTCACACTTCTGTGCGCTAACTTTAGTTTTGATTTGGCTATAATTTTCGTTTTGGTTGAACAATATTAATTATTATAATAATGATACATTATTAGTGTTATTGTTAAATTTTCGAAATAAAAAAAATTTAGGATGGTTTCTCTATTCTTTGTAGCAAAAAAATGAGAATTTAAATCCTTCTCCTAAATGAATGAATAAAATTAAAGACATCAATGTCTCTCATTACTTTCTTCCTCTTGTTTTCATCTTCTCTTCAATTTTTTACTCTTCTTGCTTGAACAAGGCGGACAGAACCACTTCTTGTTATCGGGTGGAGCACAAGCCAGTCCAACACAGTGCCTACAGGTTTAACAATACATGATGATAGTCATGGTAACTCGTTATGAATGCCATGTGATCAAACTAACATGTGAAGCCAGACGTCACAGTTGTCACAGCAGATCATTGGAGTCCCATCATCCGGTCTCTTACAGATTGGACATATGTATACCTCTGGAGTTGTTCCAGCTCCTCCTACTCCTCCAACAACACCTTGTAGAGTGCTACTAGTGATAACAAGACTAGGAGCCGACTAAAGGGAGAGAGAGAGAGGAGGAGGAAGATGATGAAGAATTTAAAGTATTTGCTTGCTACCTTCTTGATATTAATTGAAGGGACTTTTATTGATGGAGACGACTTCACAAATCTTATAATAATGAATCACATGATCAACCTCACATGAGATTAATAGTAAACTCACAGGCTTTCTCCTTGAGTCTTTTTCTTAGCATGATGATGATGAGCTGTTAGTGTCTCTCTAGTGAGTGAGCCAGTTGATGAACTAGATGATGCTCTTAATGATGATCTCCTACTCTTCAAGGAACTGGTACCAGGACTAACAGTACTAACTATTGAAGGGAACAAAGCAAATACTGTATGCATCATATGATGGACAATAGCAAAAAAAGATGTCATAATAGTATAATAATGATTATGAATTTGTGCTGCATTATTTATATAAATGTTATTTTAAGTTTGAGCTAATTCTCATCACTCATACGTGTATTAAATTAAACTCATGTGCTTCTTCATTACCTGGTGGCTGTTGAGGTAGTTTCAATCGAAGCTTAAGTCCACCAGGACTTTTAGACCTCTCCTCTCTCTCTCCTTCTTTCTTGACTGGCCTTAAAGACTGGATCATCTTTGTCTTACTCTTTCCTTTCTTTTGACTCGCGAACGATTCAACTTCAATCTCTTCCTCTGAGCTTTCACTGGAAGAACTACTGCTACTACTAGTCTCAGCATTCCTTGAGATTTTCTACAGCAATGGAACCATAATATTCTAATTTACGCATCATTGATCTAACTAAAACTAATGAGGCTTTTCCAAAATCTGGCCAAAGTCCCTGTACTATATAGCAAGGCTGCAAAAGTCATGGCAGCAATTTTGAAGTGGGGTGAATCCTACTTAGTAACGCTACCGCGTTACTAATAGTACAGGGATTTTGGGCAAATTTCACCAAAAATGGCTAGGTGAGATTTCTCCATTTTTATAATATTTCCTGATGCATATACATGTTCTTATGTTGCATAGAAAGTTTGAGCTCATTCCAATCAAATTTGGATTTTTTACGAATATTTAAAGTTGCTCCAAAATTGAGCCAAAGTCCCTGTACTATAGTACAGGGATTTTGGGCAAATTTCACCAAAAATTGCTAGGTGAGATTTCTCCATTTTTATAATGTTTCCTGATGCATATACATGTTCTTATGTTGCATAGAAAGTTTGAGCTCATTCCAATCAAATTTGGATTTTTTACGAATATTTAAAGTTGCTCCAAAATCGAGCCAAAGTCCCTGTACTATATATAGTACAGGGATTTTGGGCAAATTTCACCAAAAATGGCTAGGTGAGATTCCTCCATTTTTATAATGTTTCCTGATGCATATACATGTTCTTATGTTGCATAGAAAGTTTGAGCTCATTCCAATCAAATTTGGATTTTTTACGAATATTCAAAGTTGCTCCAAAATCGAGCCAAAGTCCCTGTACTATATAGTACAGGGATTTTGGGAAAATTTCACCAAAAATGGCTAGGTGAGATTTCTCCATTTTTATAATTTTTCCTCATACATATACATGTTCTTATGTTGCGTAGAAAGTTTGAACTCATTCCAATTAAAACTGAATTTTTTACAAAATTTTAAAGTTGCTCCAAAATCGAGCCAAAGTCCCTGTACTAAGGTATTTAAAAAAACAAAAATATTCACACAAGTATATACACGTAATATAAATCACAAACATTATTGGAAACAACAGTAAATTACCTTTTTTGGCTCATCAGGTATGTCGATGGCTATGGATCTCTTCAAACCTCTTCCTTTCCCTCTCCTCTTTTCAACATGACCTCCACTCCTTTGCTCCTTGCTAATTTTAACTCCTAAGCCACTACTTCCGGCTGTCGAAAGTCTCGGTATTGTAACTTTCACAGGTTTCTTATCAATTCTCTCTTCCTCTTCTTCGCTTGAAGATGTTTTCTCCTTCTTGGTAGCCATCAACAATCTACTGGAGAGCCTGTACTTTAGTGGTATCTTGACTAAAAGAGAGCTTGGTGGGGCTTCAATAGAATCAACGTTCTTTATAAAAGCTGTCTCGACAATCATTTCGCTTCCCTTGCTAACAGAGATTGAGGAAGAATGCTTACTAGTAGAAGAACCAATGAGTCTTGATGGTGATGTAGTAATGATAGTCGGAGGAGGAGGAGGGAGGAGGAGAGGAGCAGGAGGAAGAGGAGGAGACAAGGGCAAAATGGAATCAACTTTCTTGTAGCTTGATGAAGACACTATCAAATCAGTCGTACCTCCTTTCCCAAGTTGTTGCTCTTTACTGGAAAGGTCTTGGGACAAATTTGATTTCTTTATCCTGATAGTCAGTGATCTTTGCTTCTGTGAGCTGGTTGAGGAGGGAGAGAGTGACAGAGAATGAGACGGCGAAGAGAGAGGAGGAGGAGGAGACAATGGCCGTCCAGGAGACAAAGAAGGAACAATGGCAGGTGGTTCTGAGGTTACTAGCAGAGACGGAGCTGGGGGAAGAGGAGGAGTCGGTTTTCGAAACTCTGTCGATTCAGAAGTATCGCTCTCACTCGTATCCTCTTCCTCCTCTTGATTTGATAACGGAGAGTTGTCTTTACTGTAGCCAAATGAGTGAGGGAGAGGATGAGTGGGCGGGACCAAAGAATGACTGGGTGTGGTCTGAAAGCCAACGGAACGTGGGGGGAGTGGAGCAAGAGTTTGAGGAGAGATTGGGGAAGTGTGAGATGTGACTGGTGGGAGATGTGATGATGATAGAGTTGATTGAGGAGGAAGGGGAGGGAGGGAGGGAAGGAGAGAGGGAGGAGGGATAGGAGACTTGCTATCATCATCTAAACTAGGGAGAGGGATCTTAATGGAGTCTGCAAGAGAGGAGGGAGAAGATGACGAAGATGAGAAAGAGAAATCGCTTTCTATGTGTGCCTTCACAGGCTCTGGTCTTTTAGGATCAGGAAGAGGAGGAGAAGGAGAAGGAGAGAGAGAAGGAGGAAGAGAGGGAGGGAGAGGAGAAGGAGGGAGAGAGGAAGGGAGGGAAGGAGGGAGGGAGGGTGGAGCAGCTGGAGGTAGAGGGCGAGGAGGAGAGGGAGGATAAACTTTAGGGACATTAACCGACACTGTTCTTAAAGGGAAACTGACAGTGGGGGAACGAGTTGGACTGTTATCGTCAGTTTGATGGGTTCCACTTAGAGGGTGCAAAACTGGCCGAACAGATTTTGAGAGAAAAGGACTAGTGGGTGGAGTCTTGTGAAAAGGAGACAACTGAGGTAACACATGGGCAGGAGATAGGGGAGGTCCCCTTGGACTCATCAAGTGTAACGGAGGCAGTTGAGGGGGCGGGAAAGAAGGAGGAGATTTCAAGGTCCCCACAGGAGAATCAGATAATATAGAGAGAGGGCGTGGAACAGGTTTGACCGGTTTTGAGTCCTTGATTGACGAGATCAAAGGAGGTGGATTAGAGGGAGGAAGGTCTTCCTTAACAACATCCTTAACAACATCAGGAGGAGGAGGAGGGAAAGAAGGTGTAGACTGAACAGTATGAGGAGGAGAAAGAGGAGGAGAAGGAGAAGGGGAGATAGATTGAACAGTATGAGGAGAAGGAGAAAGAGGAGGAGATCTATGAGAAGGAGAAGTAGATTGAACAGTATGAGGAGAAAGAGAAGGAGGGGGAGGAGGTGGGGAAGAAGAGATAGAATGAACAGTATGAGCAGGAGGAAGATGAGGAGAAGGATGGTTTGTGTTGTTTAAAGGAGCAGCTGGTGAATTAGCAGTAGATGATAACTGAGTTCCTCCTACTAATGAAACAAAAGTAAAAATACACATACATGTACATGTATGTGTACATGTAGCTCTAGGATTTAGCACATTGTACACTGTATTGCATATAGTTTGCAAATTCAATTTATTGTAAATCATTTTAAATAATAGGACACACACAACATATTTATCAGCAATAATCAGAGACCCAATTTAACATAGTGCGATTTACATTCATTACTGATACCTTCAGTAGGTTTGTTAGTAGATAACATTTCATCTGAGGAACTGCTCCTCCTACTTGCCCCTCCCTCTTCATCGGCCTCGCTGAGTGTACGAAGGTGAGCGTACGACGGTAAACCGGCGCTACCTCCTGTTACGGACGGGGATTTGAGACTGGTAGGCGTGGCTATCGCAGTGTCATCGTCCTCAGTTATCATGTGTATACCACTTTCATTGTCATCTTGTTCCTCTGAGAGGGAGAGAGAGAGAGAGAGAGAGAGAGAGAGAGAGAGAGAGAGAGAGAGAGAGAGAGAGAGAGAGAGAGAGAGAGAGAGAGAGAGAGAGAGAGAGAGAGAGAGAGAGAGAGAGAGAGAGAGAGAGAGAGAGAGAGAGAGAGAGAGAGAGAGAGAGAGAGAGGAAGGAATATATGAACAATAAGAGTCATAAAGATAAGAATGCGTGAACTCTGAAGACATTAAATTTTTGACACTAAAACTTGTAAAAATGCAATAAACAACACCTTTAAAACTTTATCACCTCTCAATGCAAGGGAAACATGTTCATGTCCATGTAGCTGCAGTTTTTGCTTA